TAGACAGTAGAATGATTGTTACCAGAGGCCGAGAAGGGTGAGGACATGGGAATTAAGAGAGATTGGCTAATGAACACAAAAATACAGTTAGGAAGATCAATTCTGGTGTTCAATAACACAACAAAGCTGCTATGGTTATCAGTAACTTATTGTGTATTTAATAATAGCTGAAAGAGAGGATTTGGAATGTTTTTAGCACAAAAAATTTGACAAATATTTGAGGTGATAGATGCTCCAATTATCCTGATTTGATCTTTACACATTGTATGCATGCATCAAAATATCACATGTACCCCGCCAAATATGTTTTATGCTTCAAAAAAGAATAATAGAGATACAAAGAGTATGTATTTCACTTCAGAACTGAAAGTTTACAGACAGGTTTAGATATGGCATAAAATAATATTTCATATTTTTTTCAAAAGCACTGAAGAAAAATAATTGCTTGGAATAGTGAAACCTAACCAACAATATGTGAATAATATTTCACCTTGTTCTTAAAAAAAGGATGTCACTACAATAGTAATTATGACAATAATTATGTAGAGAATTAAAAATGTGTATAAAATAAGCAAATTGTACCCCATAAATGCATTAATGTATACATGATCTATGTGTTTATGACTTAATAAAAAAATATTTTAAAAAATAATAAAAATAAGAAAAAAATGAAGGCAACTAATCTAAGCATTTTATACATATTAATCCACCAACACAACCCAATGGGGTACATGCTATTATTATTTCCTTGTTTTGAGATAAGTAAATTTCTTTGCAATAAAAAAGAAGACTAGTGAATCAATCCATTACCATCACTGGTCCCTAGTATTAGTATGGCCTGAATCATGGACATTATCAATGCAGAAAAATAAAACCCTTAAATGCAGGAAAGGGAGGGAGAGATAGAATCCATAACTAGTACACTACACTGCTAGGACACATCAGAAACTCAGATGGGAATAACAAAGGCATAAAGAGTTTAAAGATATGCTTCAAGTATGCAAATAGAATATTGTATATATGGCAAACAAAAACCATACTCCACCTATAAACTATACTCAACTTAACTCAAATTGTTAAATAACATTCAAAGAGAATGGGAACTATATCTCCACCACTGATGTAGCATATAATAAATGCCACATTATAGGTCATGTCCACAAACATACAATGTGCTGTTCATATAAGAAATATATGATTAAATATTTATAATTAGATTATATTAGATTCTAATAATTGGTTTCTGTAAAATGTTTTTGGAGTTAAAAAACAGTCACAAACCATAATAATTTCTTTTACATAATATAAATTCAATAAATATTTTATATAAAATCTAATAAGAACTGTCTTTTCTCTGTGTTGCCTCTTATATACTAATTATTTTCAAAAGCTAAAATGTCAGTTATGGAAGGGAAGCTGTGGCCTTGGGGCCCCATGTGACTTTTCAGATCCCCAAGTGTGGCCCCTCAACCAATTCTAAGCTTCACAGAAAAAAAAAAAAAAAAAAAAAAAATACCTCTTCATTAAAAGACTTTTTTCTGTAATATTTAGAGTCAGTCAAAAGGCCACACTCAAGGCTCCGGAAGACCACATGTGGCCCCAAGGCCACAAGTTTGCATTCTAGTCCATAGCTATAGTTTACCATTTCCACTAATGCTAGAAGAAACTAGTTCCGGGTAAATACATATTCTCTGCCTATAATTCCACCTATAAATATAATAGTATTGTCATAAATTGGTTATATTTCTCAATAAAACACCTTTCCATGTGTTTAAATTACATGTTGATTTACATAACAGTTGAATCTGATACTAGGAAACATCATTTTTAACCTCAATTGCTGGCTATGTCTTCTAAACTCTGACATCCTTGGTACCTGGCCAGATCTAATCAGCTTATTGTCTCCCAAGATACCTGGTGCCAGAATTTCTCAGTCTATTTTAATTGGAATTATCAACCCTTAGGCATATTCTCTGATGTCCAAGCTATTTCCTACCGACTCACCTTTGTTCCTGATGTACCTTTTCCTAGAAATCACTGTGCTTTTGTTTGTGTGTATGTATGTGTTTCTTTCTCTCTCTCTTCTTTCTACCTAAGGAACACTAACTCATCATTTGAAACTCTATATAAGCAACTTTCACCTGGATAGAATTAAGTATTTCCCAGTTTCTTCTTTGCCAAACTGGGTAAGTAATCTATTATGGTATCAATTATACTGTTACATTTATTTGGTTGAATATTTGACCAAATTGGATCAACTAAACACTAAAATGCTTGAAGATTAGCAAGTCTTATTGATCATGTAAGCTGTTCCTAGCACAGGAACATAGCAGATATTCATTAAGAATGAAATAAACTAAACAACTATAACATTTAATCTATACTTTACAGTATGGTTTTTATATTTTTCCTCTTGCACCCATGATTTTTTTGTTGTTTTTAGGCACAAAGTCAAATGTTTATACACAGAAAAATAATTCATTTCTTAAGCTAGTTCATTTTAGAAACACCATATAAATCATTACAAAATTATCTAATTATAAAACTGTTACCTAGGAAGTAAAGTGAAAATAACCTCAGCTACTAAAATTTACAACTTCCTATCACATTCCCCAGGTAGTTCTAAGGCTTTAATAACTAATTGTCCATTAATTACATTTCTCGCTTTAATTGGATAGTTATGAGAAAAGTTTATGTAAATTATTAGAAACTTTTTGAGTTTGAGCTAAAAGGGAACTTTATTTTCCTGCTTTCAGGGTATAAGGCAATTTAATATGAATGTAGAATATCTGATTAAGTTATTTATATATGATTTATGATAAAATCAAACAAGTTGTATCTGCGTAAGAGAAGAATAATATGATAACAATAAAGTTGACTAGTTCACACTGAATTTCTTCTTCAGGTCTACTTTTTGAATTATGTAATCTTAAACTTTATTCTTCATAAACATTTCAGAGTACATATGGGTACTTACTTTTCAGGGTTTTCTACTTCTTCAGTAACAAAATTGAGGTAAAACCTAAAAATAAATAAATAATTTACAAATTATTTTCGTATATTTTACTATTATAGCCCAAGATTACAAGTAGAACCTCCGTAAGTTGACTGCCCAAGGGACCGTAACAAACTGGTCAACATCTGGAGGTGGTCAACATAAGGAACTAGGCCTACTATAGTGATGTGTACATGTGGTCATGACCGCTCTATGGAAATTAGGTCAGCTTAATGAGGTGGTCAATGTAGGGAGGGGTCAACTATGGAGGTTCTACTATATTTAAAATTGAACTAAGAATCCTGAAAACTTTATAAAATATACTTATAGCAGTGTATAATAAGATCAAAATATCCAATAGTCAAAAACTTCCACAAATCATTTTCTATAAAACCATATTATGTTCAGTCTGGAATTTCTTATATTTCACATGTTTATCATATGTCAATTACTGTGATTGTGGAAGTGGAAAGTCCCTAGTCTGTCACAGGAGCTTGTGGTTTACAGGATGGCCTATAGTAGAGTGTAACACAGTGCAGAAGCATTGTTGCAGTAAGGACGTGGCGCACAGGATAGGTCTAGCCCAGCCAAGTAGGTCAAGGAAAGTTTTCTAGAGGATGCATCAGCCACCCTGAGCCTCTAAGAATCGCTTAGTCACCTTGAGCCTTGGTGTAGGGGTGTGAGGACATTCCAGGCTGAGCATAGCACATGAGCACAGAAGTGTGACAGGGGAACTATGCACAGGGATAGGAGTTGATGCTCTGTAGGACAAGTGTGGCAGAGGGAATGGGGACAGAATTTAAGTACAAGATGACATTTGACTGCTGGGAATCCAAATATTAATGGCAAAGACAAGTCAAATAAAACTTAAGGTGCCACATAAGTCTGAGAGCAATATTCCTCAGTTTTAGGGAGTGACTACTGACTTCCTAGATAGTATAAATGCAAGGCCTAAGTAGGAACTGAAAATGGTATAGATTATAATGTATTGTACATTTCAAAATTGCTAAGAGAGTGAATTTCAAATGCTCTCACCACGAAAAATGAAAATATTTGAGATGAATATATTAATGTGATTTAATTATTCCACATTATATTCATAAATCACTTTATACCCCATAAATATATAGAGATGTTCTTCAATTTATAGTTTGGAGCTATGTCCTTAAAAACCCATTGTAAGTAGAAAATATCTTAAGTCAAAAATATACTCAACACACCAATAAGCCCATCAGAAAGTTGAAAAAATTATTAAGTCAGGGCATCATAAGTAAGTGACCATCTATACAACTATAACTTATCAAGTTACTATTAAAAATAATTTTTAAGGTAGTAAATTCGCAATTCACACTACTTCCTTCTAGTTTACTGCTTTCTGGAAAGTACCTCAAATAACCTGAAGTCACAAGACTATGAAGTTATCGCTTTCTTTTTTGTATATTTAGGCAGTTAATTTTAGGCACATGGTTAGTCATTATACCATAAGTCAACAACTAAAGAGCAGGAAATTTTGAAAATGTCCCAAGTCCAGAGCATTTTTCTGGATCTCTTACGTGACAAGAAGCATTCTAGGGATACATTATTTCAAGTTCCATAGAACTGCAAGTATTACTCTGAAGTCAGTGCCCTAAGAAATTCACATTCCTTTCCTTCACTTTGTGACTCTACTAATCCCACCCAGGAATGCCTAATGCCTGGCATCCTTAATTTTGTGTTCCAACTGAAGGGAGTTCTGGAGAACTTAAAGTGCTTAAAGTGCTCATAGTTCTCTCTTAATGTTCTATGATGTCAGCTTGAGTCATACTCCATCCTCAGAAGAAGTGTATACAGATAACCAGATCATGAAAGTAGAAACCTAAGAGATCATTCTAGAAACAGCTAGACATATACAGACAAAGGCTTGTCTACCTCTTCATGTTGTAGGCTTAGGGCATTTTTGTAAAATAAAAAAAAATCATGTTTTCAATACACTCTCCTGTTATCTTACTAATCTTTGTAAAGTAAACATAACATTTTAGGTATGTACACAGGAGCACAGGTGCAGAGGTGTAAATTCTCTAACACTGAAAATCAGATGGAATACTATGCTATCAGCCCTTGATATACTTCAAGTATCTCACAATCTAAGACGAGGGTGAAGAAAACCTGTCTTGCTCCATCTTTATTTAAAAAAAAAATATATATATATATCTAAATTCACAAGGAGGCAGCTGATGCTCAGGGTCAGGGGTCCACAATTTTAAAGATTATATTTTGAGTAGAAACAAGTGAAAACCTGAAAGAACAGTAGCAAGAAAAAATGATCTAAAACGTTGGCAGCCAAGGATTTTTAATGACTAGAAAGTAAGTTTCTAAAAATAGAGGTTGTATTTATACCAAAAAAGCAAGCAACAATCAGTACTTATATCTGGAATATGCACTTCAAGATTTGATGTGTTTGTTATAAGCCTGAGGCAATGAGAAGTACAGGAAGAAAAAATAAAACTACACACCAAAAAGCAAGCCAAAAAAAAAAAAAAAAAAAA